TGAAAGCAGGTTTCTGGGTTTGTTTAGCTTCTGTAATTGCAACATTGTTGCATCTGGAGCTCAGAGCTGGGCTGTGGCAGGCGGGGAACCTTGGCTTCCTCCGTCACTGGAGCAAGCAAGCCTCATGTTCGCTTCAGCAGCGTGGCTGCCGACCGCCATCTTGGTTGGCAGTTAATTTGCATATCTCGCTGATTAGCCTATGGGAAGGGTAGTGAAGTTACGGTTAATTACCATTTTTCTCTATTATTAGATAGGATGCTTTTGAACGTACCTGCATTTAATTTCTAAATAAGAGATAATTTTGTTCAAGATAATTGTGGATATGATAATCATGTTGTTTTAAACCTGAGTTTTAAAGTATTTGAGACTTCTGGGAGTTCCTTTTGGTTAAGTAAATGCAACCTATAGACTTGATGATGGTTATCTTAAGGCAAATTTATAGGCTTCATAGGATTTTTATGCTACTCAATTATATGTCACCAAAAGTTGCTTTTATGCTTGCTGTCATTAACTAGAAATCTATGTAACAGTAAATTTCAAATTGTTGAACTGATACTTCAGAAATTTAGAACCTCTACAATAATCACAAACATCATGAGGTAATTTAAACACAAAGAGATAATCTATACTAATAAAAGGATAATATACTAATTAGACTGGACGACCTTCTGGACAAAGCCATGGTGGTGGGGCCAAAGCAGAGGCAGTTAGGGGTGATCAGGCCAGCAGGGGAGAGCAGTTAGGGGGATCACGCCAGCAGGGGAGAGCAGTTAGGGGGATCAGGCTGGCAGGGGAGAGCAGTTAGGGGGATCAGGTCGACAGAGGAGGACAGTTAGGGGGATCAGGCCAGCAGGCAGGGGAGCCATTAGGAGCCAGCAGTCTCGGATTGTGAGAGGGATATCCGACTGTGGGATCGGGCCTAAACCGGCAGTCAGACATCCCCCAAGGGATCTTGTATTACAGAGGGTGCAGGCCAGGCTGAGGGACACCCGTGCATGAATTTCGTGCCCCGGGCCTCTAGTTTAAGTGATAAGCTGACTGAGTGCTGAGATATGTAAGCATGCTTCTCAGGCGCCCAAGGTAGTCACTTAGACCTCAGGTGCTTGCAAATCATTCCATTTTAAGGGGAAGAAATATTTATTTAACTCTCCAGTTATTAAATTTATTTATTAGTTTAAGCAGATGTCGTTATTGCCTTTAACATTATGAACTCTTTGGAAAATTGTGACCTTCTAGAGCAGTGATTTTCAATCTTTTTAACTCATGGTACACATAAAGTAATTACTAAAATTCTGTAGCACAACGACAGATACATTCTATTTGTTGCCAATATGACAAAAAAAAGTGTAATTTTTATTCATTCACACCAGATGGCTATTGTGTAGCTGTTGTCATTTTTTTTATTTGACAATCTGAAAGAAAAGAGGTGAGTGACCCTGACTAAATAGTCAGGTATTGCATGTTTTAAAAAATCTTGTGGCACACCAGTTGGAAATTGCTGTTCTAGATCAAGGATCAACAAACATTTTCCTGAAAAGCTCAAATTGTAAGTATTTTAGGCTCCTCTGGCTGGCAGGTCTCTGTGGAGCTATTCAACTCTGCTGTTGAGGTGTGAAATAGTCAGAGGCAATACATGAACAAATGAGCATGGCTGTGGTTCAGCTTTATTTATGAACACCGAAACTTAATTTTATATAACTTCCAGGTGTCAAAATTTTTATGCTCTTTAAAGCATTTAGAAATGTAAATACCATTCTTGTCTGGAGGGCCACACAAAACAGATGGCAGATTGGGTTGGTTCTGCTGGCTAAAGTTTGCCAACCCCATTGGTTGGGAAAATATGCCTTAATAACACATTCTTAAACTCCTCCACAGCCAAATCTATCAAACTATCCCAGAATTCTTACTGATTTGAGCTTATGTCTTTCAAAGTGACAAAAGTTGTTCACTTTGTTACCAGCTACTTCTTCGTAACACCAATAGTATTGCTTCTTTTTCTCACTTTATTTGTAGTTCACAGAAGTAAATTAAAAGGAATTTTTACTCTGCCTATTAAGAAACTGTCTTTTGTTAGATGATGCCGTGTGGTATGATGGAAGTAAAACTGGAAAACTTGGAAACCAGGCTGTAGCTGATTCTGCCCCTACTCAAAGTGGTCAAGTTTGTCAAACCTCTAAGTCTCCATTGTCTATCCTGCTTATCTGGAAGAAGTATTAAGAGGCTATATTGTAATAATAGATATGAAATTAGTGTTAAAGAGTGTAACATAGCCGAAACCGGTTTGGCTCAGTGGATAGAGCGTCGGCCTGAGGACTGAAAGGTCCCAGGTTCGATTCCGGTCAAGGGCATGTACGTGGGTTGCGGGCACATCCCCAGTGGGAGATGTGCAGGAGGCAGCTGATTAATGTTTCTCTCTCATCGATATTTCTAACTCTCTATCTCTCTCCCTTCCACTCTGTGAAAAATCAATAAAATATATTAAAAAAAAAAAGAGTGTAACATAAGTATTGCCTTTGTGGTGATGGTTGCACTTTATTATTACTATTTTTTTAAAAATATTTTTTATTGATTAAGATATTACATATGTGCCCCGTTGTCCGTGTCCATTGGTTAGGCCTATATGCTTGCATATAAGTTCGTTGGTTGATCTTTCCCCCTTACCACCCTCCCCTACCTTCCCTCCAAGGCCCGACAGTCCAATCAATGCCTCTCCGTCTCTGGATCAGTCCTTGTTCATCAGTTTATGTTGTTCATTATATTCCACAAATGAGTGAGATCATGTGGTATTTATCCTTCTCTGACTGGCTTATTTCACTTAGCATAATGCTCTCTAGTTCCATCCATGCTGTGGCAAATGGTAAGAGTTCCTTTTTCTTCTTCCTCTTTTTAAAGAATACCTTTCAGCATTTCATATAATGCTGGTTTGGTGGTGATGAACTCCTTTAGCTTTATTATTACTCTTATAATAATTTGACTTCTGGCAGGGCTTCCTATGTATTCTGATATATCCCTCTTAAAGATTAGATAATGGTTAAGGATTTGCATAAATTTTTTCTAGGATTTTTATCTCCAGATGCTCACACTTTTAAGCTAGTTTTATCTCCTCATTGTATATACATGTACCAAGTTCATTACTAAAGTACTATAAAATTTTCAAATTATATTCCATGAATTCTCTTATTGCTACTCTATGAGGGCAGAGACTTTATCTGTTTTGTCCCTGCTCTCTCCTCAGTACCCAAAACAATGTATGGGAATATGTTTGGGTCTCATAAGTGGATCTGAGTAAATCAGTGACACAAATAATTTCATGTGTTCCCTTGTCTTGCATTAGCAAAAGAAATGTAGAAAGCTCATTCTACATAAAATGTTTTTAAATACATAAAATAAGTAAAATTACAAAGCAAATCTTTTCACCTCTACTAAAATATAGTTCAATCCACAGAATCTAGGATCCATGGACCCTGATTTTTAAAATTTGGAAGAATTTTTAAGTAGTACCAGAGGACACACAATCCCTAACTACAATTTATAAAATTACTTTGAGAGAATAAAAAACAAAGGCAAGCTTTATTTAGTCTCTTTAAAGATCCTTCTCTCTGCCCTGACTGGTTTGGCTCAGTGGATAGAGCGTCGGCCTGTGGACTGAAGGGTCCCAGGTTCAATTCCGGTCAAGGGCATGTACTTGGTTGTGGGCACATCCCCAGTGGCGGGTGTGCAGGAGGCAGCTGATCGATGTTTCTCTCTCATCAATGTTTCTAACTCTCTATCCCTCTCCCTTTCTCTCTGTAAAAATCAATAAAATATATTTTTAAAAAAATAAAATAAATATCCTTCTCTGTACTTTGAAATTATAACAAAAAGAACACTAGGTGTGTTTGTTTTTTTAAGCCTATTTTGGTTAAATTTCCTTTGCTTGCAACAAGATTTTTGTAAACTTATTCATATGTGGCATTCATCTGGAAAGCGACTCGAATATCTCATGGAATTGACAGGTGGGAAGGAAAGGAACAAGGGTAGCTCTGGGGATTTCAGCTTTCTCCAGAGTAGAGCCATTAATGGGGTTCCCAGTCACGTGTCTAAATTTCAGGGTATTAAACAGACACTTGGTTGATCAAGTTTGGATCACACATGCCTGAATTGGTCAGCCAAAGTCAGTTTCAGGAGGTTCTGAATGATGGTGGTTTGTATTTTTTTAGTTGTAATTTTGATGTGGTTGTGGGAGGCATTGAGTACAGGTGTTTACTTACCCTACCATCTTGGTTCTCCTCTAGATTTGGATTTTATCTTAAATGTTATGGGATATAAGGGTGTGTCTAAAATCCATTTTTTTAAAAAAAATTCAGTCTGTTGCTCTGCAGATAATAAAAATATCACTTTTTGCTATGTTGCAGTAGGAAGGATTAGGAAAAATAAATAATTATGACTGGCTGAAATTCAGAAATTTAATGGTAAATGATCATTTTTGATAAAATGATGATCATACTGTAATAAAATAGTCTCTCTTAGATACCCATTGAATAAGTTTCATGCATTGAATTAGTAATCTAAATAATAAACTATCATGTTTGTTGTTTCTTGTTCTAGATTTTCCTCTAAGCTTTAGGTCTGAGAAATTAACTTAGAAATGATGATGCTTTTCCCAATTTCCCTCCCAGGTAAACAACTGGAGGAAAGAACCTTGAACTAAGAGTAGTAAGAACTGGTTTCTCATGCTGGCTCTGCCACCAGTCGGTTGTACCATTAGTTGGGTTGTTTAACCTCTCTGGATTTCAGTTTCCTATAGTGTAAAATATGGGGATTGAATCGTCTAATTGAGATAGCTCTTTTGTGCCTACAGTCATAAATTTAGCAAGTCCTGTGTGTAAGACTAAAATTCTGTGATTCTTAATGAGACCTCATAAAATCTCAAAATGTCCTTAAATATGAAACTAGGAAATATAAAATAACTGGCTCTCTGTTCAAAATTGGAAAATTCATCCTTATTCCCTTTTTAACAGGACCAAGGAAATAAAACACCAGAAGCCCAGAGCACAGAATATTTTCCTTCACCAATTCATAGAATCGTGATACTTCTCTAATTCCATCAAATACAAAGGAATGACCACCTTGGCAGATGGCCACAGAGGATGTCAACAGTTTTTTGGAGGCAAGCAATAAAATATTGATGCTTTGAGTTTTCTATTATTAAGTATGTAGAAACAAGTAGAATTATGTTTTAATGAAAATATGAAGTGTTCTTTAATACTGTAATTTACATAAGTATAGATAAGCTATTTCTCCCCTCCTTTATTCCCCCAGAGCATTGTAGCATGTCAAACATTACATTGAGCTAAGCTGCTTTTGCCCTTCCATGGTATAGGGTTACATTACATTCCTAAATACAAAGTAAAAATTTAAATAACAGAAATTAAGTACCCACGTTTGACAACAGGGCTCTATCTATCTTGGACACACGTATAACTACAAATACTAAATAGTTTGGGTGTTGGAATTGTTTGGGTATTTTTAATTATCCATACCATTTATAAATTTTTTGTTTTGATTCCTGCATTTTCCTCACTTATTTTTAAATATTCTAAAGTATTCCAAATTCGCAGTAAGTCATCCTTTATATTCCTCACAGTTTTATATTTTGTGAGATGTCTACATCAAAAGATCCCACTAAGTTTTTAGTTACTTTCACAGCTGCTCTTGCTTTTCCTGGAAAAACAGTCAATCAAGGATTGTGGAACCACAGTGTCATCTTCAAAACTGAAACTAATTACCTTACCCTTTAAATGGAAAGTTTGCCTGGAAATAAATTGACTGTTTTAGAAAAAAAAAATTATAAATATAAGGAATCTTCCTTCTTCACCTTCATAAAAAAAAAAAAGACTTAAGTAGATGAATATAAAATGAAATAAAATAAACTCATAAAAATTTGAGTCGAATGTACTAAAATTTAATTTTTCAAAGCTTTTTATACAAACAGAGAAACTAAAGATTTGCTCAGAATTTTTTATTTAATGTTCCTTCAACTCAGAGGCCTAAGGTCATTCAGCAAAAGAGTCTGCTTTTTAAGTTGAACTTAGAGAAACACTTTTTAAGTAAAGGAGACCATAAATGTTTAAAAAGCCTACTGTAGAGCGTCTGAGTAACTAGAGTCAAAATTAATTCTTGCTTTTCTGTTGGGGAAAATTTCATCTAATTACATTCAAATTATTCTGCAACTTTTTGGACAGCAAATCCTGATCACCAAAGAAAAGAAAGAGCAGCTGTGTTGCCCTTGCCTCATAGTTATAAGAATAGCAGTGTTATGCAGTCACTGGGCTTTATAGAACCGTAAGTGATTATCCACTGGCTGCCTTCTGGCAAAAACACACCTAACCTTTCTGAACTGCTGATAATGTATGCCTTCTGTTTATAAGGATAGATCTTAAAAAAGAAAAAATAGATTCTACTGCTTTCTTAGTCGAGTTGGGTTGTTTAACCTATAAGAAGCAGGAAGTTCTTATAACCCTTGCACACAAGTAACTGTTTCTAAAACTTCTCTCAGAATTATACTTTAATCATGGTTTAAATATTTTCTAAGTCTAATACAATTCACGTAACTACTTTAAAAAGATACTTTAAATTGACCATTGCTAAATTAGTGGAAATAGTTCCCATAAACAATGCTACTCCATAAGCAGCCTATTGTCAAACTTCTTTCTTTAATGTTTCCTTTTTTAACTCATTCATATATGAGACCTTATTTTGATCTTACGTTATTCTTTAATCACAGCAACATATCTGTGTCAAATAGCTCTAATTGATATTTCTTCCACATTAATAACTAGCCCTTTGTTCTCTATAAATTGCATTCTATTTTTGCTCATATCATTAATATGTGACATATTTATAGTTCTAATCACAAGTGCTATTTCATTTATTTCCCATATTGTAAGGTTTATTTGTAAATTATCATTGGAGAAATTTTTAGTAATTCGAAAGGCAGTTGTAACACAGCACATATGACTTATAGGTATGACAAATTCAAAGAACAGTGAAGACTAACTGATTAATCCTGTGCCAGACCTACCAGCTGTGTGATCTTGGGCAAATCATTGATTCTCTTTGATCAATGTATATTTTGTATATTTTTTATATTTAGATACTAATAATATAAGTGTAAGGATTAAATGGGATAGATGATAACATTAGTAAAAAGCTTAGATATTAGCACTCACCTAGCACATAATTTAATAAATAGGTGATGTAGTTATCCTACTTTCTGCAAATGATTGAAGAAGGTTTCCTCATAGTAAGCTCAACTCTTAGAAAATAAGTAATGGATTTGTCCATTATACTCATGTCAAATTTTTTTTTGCATTATTGTGTTTGTTGTACTGCTACTAAATTTTGTTCTTATTGAAATTTCCCAAAAAGCAGTTTAAATTTTATATGAAACATGTGAAAATGTAATCTATGCTGAAATCATGGTTAAAAAACATAGTTTTTTTAAAAAGTGGTTGTTAACTTTTGAGCTTCATGAAAACTTTATACATTACAAATTTTGCAAGGAATTTTACTTGAGTGATTCACTTCCTGTTCTAAAATTTTATCTTTTTATCAACCAGTATTGTTTGGAGAAATATTCCACATGCAAAGCAAGAGAGTTGAAGAATTTTCTTCTTGGGATTAAATATCTTTTATGTATACATTGATCAAATGTGTATTTAGTATGAGAAACTGATTTGATCTTTCCACTAGAAAGATAAAATTAAATAGGCAATTTGGTTCTCTGGATTAGTTTCCTATGTCTGCCGTAATAAATTATTACAAATTGGGTGGCTTAAATTTAAAAAAATTTATTCTCCCACAGTTCTTAAGTCTAGAAGTCCAAAATCAAGTTGTCCTCAGGACCATCTTCTTTTAAAGACTCTAGGGGGGAACCTGTTCCATGCCTTTCTCTTAGCTTCTGGTGTGGCCGTCCATCCTTGGTATTCCTTGGCTTATAGATTCATCCCTGCTATCTCTGCCTCGCTCATCACATGGTTTTTCTCCTGTGTCTATGTATCTTCTCTTCTTATAAGGACAGGATTATATTGGATTAGGGTCCACCCTAATTCAGCATGACCTCATTTTAACTTGATTACATCTGCAGAAACGCTTTTTACAAATAAGGTCATATTCTTAGGTGTCAAGGATTAGGATTTAAATGTATCTTTGGGGGTCGGGGGTACAATTCAACTGATTTAACACACTGTCTTTTTTATATCTATATAAATAGGTTTAGATATTTTTTTTTAACTGAGAATCAAGTTAAGAAAGAAACATTGATTTTAAAAACAGAAAATTATCTTCTTCTAGAACAATGGTTGTTTCACTTGTGACAAGACATGATCTATGAATAGGTTTTTGCTGTTTGCTTAGAATGATTTGGCAGTACCATTTCTTGAACATAGTTTCTTGATAAAACTTTTTCCCATTAACTGAATAGCTCTGTTTTTTAAAATTAGAGAACAATAGTTATCTTGTTTGTTTACTTGATATCAGAGTTCAAATAATAGGGTTACAGTTTTATGGTCACAGGCATGTGTCCATATTACATATATAAACAAATGTGATGCCCTAAAGACATTAGAGATGGTATGACATTTGTGTTTATAATTTTACTTAGAATTACTCTTTGTAAGTAAATTAACTGAGCCAGTTTTCCTTTGTTGTACTTGATTCAAAACAGGACTACTTTTTATTTTCCTGAGTAAGATATTTACTTTAAATTAAGATTAAGAAAAAAATTGTTGACCTTTCAAAAAGAACATAAGCATTAATTCTACTGTTTATTATAGAAAAGCTCATTCTTGTGAATTCTTTCTAATATATAACTTGGTATGTGGTATATAGATCATCAGTACATTTTTATCACATCTTTTTTATTGTCATCTCCCACGTATTTAGACAACTGTCACAGATTTTCCATGTAATAAAACTTACACTGTGTAAGTTTCAATAAAAAAGATTTTATATGTATTTTCTTCTCTTTGAGCTTCTGAAAAGGAAGTAAAGCATTATAAAATCCTATTGTGGGTCCTCGTGTTTTGCCATTCTTGCATGAAACACATGAAATATCCAAAAGTACTTTTCTTGCAGGTAAAACCTGCTTCAAATTATTCTTTACATATAATAGTCACTCAATAAATGTTTATGAAGTGAATGAAGGAAATTGTAATTAGTCCTTCTGCTTGTAGATAGCATCCAAAAGAGTGTTATTAGAAGGTAAAGCAATTCTGAAGCTAACTCTGTTATGCACCTTCATGTTAAATATTTTTCTAAAATTTTATATGAAAGGTAAACAGAGATGGGAATTAGAAAGTTTGCAATGTGGCAAAGTGGCAATATAGTCTTTATTTCCCAGAACTTTTCAGTAAATTGAAGGATTTAAGGTTTATATTTTTATCTCATTTCCAAGTGAATGTTGAAACCTTGAGGAAAAAACATAAAGTATCTGGTTAAATGAACAGTTGACTATGCATTTTGAGATTGGGGTTTGGTTTTGTAGACTATGGATCAAATTACTAGAGGAGTGGTTCTCCACCCTGACTATGCTTTAGCATAACCAGAGAAGTTTTTTAAAAATAGTTATTTAGGCCCTGCCTCTACTGGTTACTCTCTATTGTTCCGATTACTAGCTGTGTGGCTTTGAGCATTTTTTAGTTCTCAGAATCAGATTCTCGAGAAGTGATGATACAGTAGTAGTGGACTTTTGGATAAGATTGTGTCTTACAGAAATGGAAAATAAAATATAATATATACTTAGAGATGTGCTGATCTAATTAGGAAAATTTTGAACTGAAAAACAGGGATTTGAGGAGATAAATATGCAAATTAAACAATAAAGATTTTATTATTAAGAGCATCAATAATGATGAAGTAAATACCCTGTGTTACTGGTAAAAATACTTGGGGAAAATATTAGGAAATTGTACCTCTGCCTCAAATGTCTATATTCCAAGTCCCAGACTATGTCTGAAACTGGAGTGGACTGATTTCTTAGGTGAGGAATTTAACATCAATAGAGTATTCCCAGTGAAGTTGAATAACCATTTGCTAAGAGTATAACAGTGGTAGATATGATGGTGATCAGGACACGTTAGCTTATGGAATGCTTATGAATTGGAAAACCTCTAAGGTTCTTTTCCAACTCGAATAGGCTGTGTTTGTAAATAATTGACAGTCTTTTGTTAGCATTTATTTATTCATGTATATATTTTGAAAACTTACTGGAAGATAAAATTTAGGACATGAAGGAAAATAGAATACACTATATAGTATCATGGGGGCAATTAAAAAACATAATTGTATTTCATTTATACATATACATGTGTTGGCTATTTCTGTTACCATTTAGGAGCTAACGTAAATGTATGAAATAGGAATTCAATATACTTAAATGTACAGAAAGAAATTGTACTAGAAAAGCTGTCATCTTGATCCAGGATTTTTGAAGAGAAGCTTCTTGAAAACAAATATAAATATGCATTATATTGTATTTGAAATTATTATTGGGTAAGACTCAGGTGCTAACATTAATTAATTTCTGTCATTGTTCCTTGCCTGCATGTTCCTTTACTGAGCATGCAGCTGATGAAGTTACTTTTGATGCTGCTATTATTGCTTATTAATAGCCAGAATTTTGGAGAGAGAGAGTACAGTTTCCTGGAAGAAAAACTGCTGAGGATAGAGAAACAGTACTCATAAGAGAAAGGCTAAGTAAGTATAATGGGTCTTAGAGTATAGGACTTGATTGATTCCGGAGCCCCAGAGGGTTTGAAGGGAAAGGAATTTCTAGAGAAGACCATCTAGTTCTGGCTTTAAAGAAGCAAAATGAAAACATCAATAGTTATTTTCTTTTTTCTGCTATATATTTCTAAAGCAATATGAAGATAATAAAAAGTGTAAAAGTAAAATTGAGCTACCTTTTTTTAATATTCTTTAAAATATATTTTATTGATTTTTTACATAGAGGATGGGAGAGGGATAGAGAATTAGAAACATCGATGAGAGAGAAACATCGATCAGCTGCCTCCTGCACACTCCCTACTGGGGATGTGCCCACAGCCAAGGTACATGCCCTTGACCGGAATCGAACCTGGGACCCTTGAGTCCGCAGGCCGACGCTCTATCCATTGAGCCAAACCGGTTAGGGCTGAGCTACCTTTTTTTAACCTAACTTCCCCTACTCTAGAGTTTTACTACTTTTAGTTTTACTGGGTTTTAGCAAGTCATTCCCTATTTTGAAATGTTTTAACTCCATAATAGAATTCAATATATATTACTGTCCATGAGTAAAGAGGCACCAGAGAAATGAATATATATTGGGTCAAACCATCAACATATTACTGGTCGAGTTCCTCAGAAGTAAAGTATTTTTTTTAGGTTTTGCTTTTGGGTTATAAAAGCAATACATACTCATGGTTTTTAAAATAAGAAACATAATATGGAAAAGTATAAAAGTAAAATTTGTAGCCATTCTGTTTCTACTTCCCACAAGTAACTTCAATTAACTTTTAATGTATCATTTCAGAGGTCTATCCAAATACAAGTGACACACACATATACATACACACCTACACATATGCATATACTGTTATATGCTTTTTATTACATAAATGCAACAGATCCATTGTTTTTTGCTAGTAGCCTTTCCGCTGTTTGTCTCTTTAATATTGATTTGTAAGAGCTCTTTGTATACTAATAAAATGTGCCTTTTTAATGTGTTTCAAACATTTTTCTGTAGTTTAATTTGCCCTTCAGGTTGATTTATGGTAGTTTCTCTTTCTCATACTGAAATTTTAAATTTTGGGTTAGTCAGATTATTACTTGTTTCTGTTATGGCTTCTGGAGTTTATGTCCAAGATGATAAAATATATAACATCATTTTATCTTTCCCACCATTATGGCTGAATTTTTGTTAAGGGACTTTATTTTATTCCAGAAGTTTTAGGTTCACAGCAAAATTAAAAGGAAGGTACAGAGATTTTCTATAGACCCCCTGGCCTCAAACATGTATAGCCTTCCCCATTATCAATATTCCCACCTCAGTGGTGCATGTGTTACATCTGATGAACTTACATTGACACATCATCATCTACAGTCTACACTTTACATTAGGGTTCACTATCGGTGTGGGTTTGGACAAATGTAAAATGATGTGTATCCGCTATAACAGTATTATACATAGTAGTTTCACTCCCTTAAAAATCCTCTATGCCTATTAATCCCCTGTTTTTAAATAAAGTTCTGATGTTTAAATCTTTAAATAACTGGAATCTTGTTAGTGTCCTAACAACTTTTATTGAGTCATCTTTTCTTAAAATGTCACCTTTATTCTATATTTAAAAGTTATGTATATGCGAGTGTATCTCAGGATTCTCCATTATACAAACTTTTGTCTATTCCTTTTGTAGAACTAAACTCTTTATTTATTATATCTTTATAATGTTTTTAATATCTGCAAGGACTTGTTCCCTCTTGCTCCTCTTTTTTTTTAAATATTCCTAGATAATTACATGCTTTTTATCAAATCAACTTTGTTATTATATTTTTAAGTTCTCAAAATAAAAAATCCTATTGGTATTATAATTGAAATCTTATTAGAATGATAGGTTAATCTAAGCAGATTAAGAAGTCTTAGAATATTGATTATATCTGTCCTAAAAGCAAATTACATGTCTTGCAGATAACTAAATTTATTTATTCTGAGTTATTTATTTGTGTGTGTGTGTGTGTGTGTGTGTGTTTATATTAAATGGATTTGTTTCTAGTTTTTCTTTTCTAATTGAGCATGGCTTAGATATAGTAGAAACATTGATTTCCAAATACTAATCATATAACTAGCTACCTTTCTAAACTTTTTTCTTAGGTTTTCCATTGATTTGCATACCTTTTACTTCTTTCTCCCACCTAATTAGCTAGTATATACAGAACAATATCAATATAACTAGAGGCTTGGTGCACAAATTCGTGCACGGCTGGGGTCCCTCCGGGAAGCCTGCGGGGACTAGGCTGAAACTGGCAGGCCAATGCCGCTGCTCCTGCCTGCCACTCCGCTCATCCTGGCCCCACTGCACCTGCCGCGGGCTCACACCCAGGCAGTTCTGATGGGGCCAGTCAGTCCTGGTGGGGAGAGGCTCGCACCGCCACAGAAGTACTCACCAGCCATGAGCTCTGCATCTGGCACCCGTCCCGAGGGGGTAGGGAGGAGACAGGACATGATCGGCCCTCCAGGCAGGCAGTGGGACACCCTTGCCTGCCTGGGATCCGGATCCATCCTGCTGACATTCGCACAGGTTTTCAGGAGCCACCTGGTGGCTGCTTTTATATCATTTCTTCCTTGTGGAGCATCTAGGGAGGGAAAGCGACCGCAGTGCCTGAGGCCAACTTCCAGGAAGCTGGCAGCACTGTTAGGATCATGCTGGCAGCGCCAGTCCATCGATGCCTGGCCCGGTCTCCAGAGATTGGACCTGCAGGACTACTGAAGGATTGAGTGACTGCCGCCTGGCTGATGGGCCACCAGGACAGATATGTCGGTTGGATGGCACTCCCACTGTGGGAGCACACTGACCACCAGGGGGCAGCTCCTGCATTGAACATCTGCCTCCTGGTGGTCAGTGCGCGTCATAGCTACTGGTCAACCAGTTGTTCGGTCACTTAGGCTTTTATATATAGACTAGAGGCCCGGTGCACAAAATTCGTGTACTCAGAGGGTAGGGTCCCTTAGCCCAGACTGAGCCCTCTCGCAGTCCGGGAGCCCTCAGGGGATGTCCGACTAAGCCATCAGTCAGACATCCTTAGCGCTGCCACGGAGGTGGGAGAGGCTTCCACCACTGCTGCTGCCCTAGCCAGCCATGAGCCTGGCTTCTGGCTGAGCGGCGCTCCCCCTGTGGGAGCACACTGACCACCATGGGACAACTCCTGCATTGAGCACCTGCCCCCTTGTGGTCAGTGAGTGTCATAGTGACCAGTCATTCTGCTGTTCAGTCGATTTGCATATTCGCCTTTTATTATATAGGATTGTTTTTAACTTTTTTTGGCCCACCAATACTTTTACCACCATAGATATGACATCCTTGCAGCT